AATCTGGCTAGGGAGGTCCTACCAGTAGCTCTTGGGGTCGCTGAGGTACTCAAGCCCCACGACCACGACAAGGTGCAGGTACCATTAAGTGGGGCCTTTGCTATTTACATGTTAATTTATTACAATCGCCATATGAGACCATATTTCTGTTTAGAAATTAGTCAAAGGAAAATGTATCTTACCTTTCTCTATGTTACAGCCTTTTTGTGGCGTATGTTGGTAGCACTGTTCCAAGAAGTTTACAAACTGCTCGCAACACTCGGACAACAAAACGAACATCGTTTTCATCTTGCTGGATGTGAAGGCAGGGCTCAGTGTGGACCGCATCTCTCTCCAGCGCTGACCTAACAACATATTCAGGTAAGTGACATGTTATTGTAAGTGATGCCGAGTCAAAGTAGTTTAACCCATCGGAATCTTAATTTTGGCCTCTGCTTGTGGGTGTGTTCATAGATTTGCGCCATGATCAGAGGCTGCGTTTTCGTTGAACCTCCTGTTTTGGTGCCTGCCATTTAAATGGATACTCCATGTTACAATATTCAGAATGTGGTGATGTGTCTACTCCATGAATTGAGAAGGATTAAAGATGTGATGCCATGTGGACTCGTAGGTAGACACCAACATCTCGGATAAACCTTCTCCATCTTCTCTGAAACACTGGTGTGTACCTACGAGTACGTGCATCACGACCCAGAAGACCAGCATTTTCATCTTTATCTCGATAACTTCAAATGTTGCAATGATGAATGTACTTCAAGTGGTTTTCCTTTGATATATTGCATGGGTGCTGAAGTATGAATATGAGTTCTTTTACCTTTGAGATTGAAGAGGCCTCTTGACCACACAGGTTCCTGATCCTTTGAGAATATAGTGCGGTGGTCCATGAAGTATTCAAAGTCCTTCACAGCGATTGTTTTTATAAGTTCAGGGTCTTTCAGCATAATAATAGGTTGTTTAAATAAAAAAAATCCTCCATAGGGGTGATCTTCTAGTTCTTTGTATATCCTCATCAGAAGCTGAGGGAAATATTGCTTCATTATAAATGAAGGTCCCATGCAGCCAATAAATGGTACAGGTTTGATGAAAGGAACATTCTGCTTGGAGAAATGATTGTAGTTGCTGGTTCCTATGAAATATAGCACCGCTCCAATGACAAGGAGTAGCAGCACCCAGTCTGAGCACGACCACGACCATGACCAGTCGAAGACGGCCATCAGAATCGATCTGAGAATAAACAGACATGACAGTCATGTTAAATGAGGTTTTATAATTTATTTTATATAAGATCTGCAACTTTGTTAATTTAAAGGTCCCGGAAAACATAAGGACTGGACTTGATTGAGGCTTATCAGCTTCTGGTCCAAGTTGAAGACAGTAATTTGATAGGTGAAAACATAAAAACGTAGTGGCTCTGTTAGATCCTAGTAGGAGATCACTCAGTCCCTCCACCCCCGAAGTCCTACACTGTATCGCGTCACTTCTAAATGCGCCTTCGCGAACAAGCCAGGTTTCTAACAGCTTGCCATGGATATATTTTATCTGTGTTCATGTGTGTGTGGACGAACCACAAAAGTAGCACCTCCGACCTAACACGGCCAACACGAACGCTCCGACGCGAAACTGAATTATTTTAAAATTTAAAATGTGCGTAAAGACTCGCCCACCTTCTAGCACTCTCGTCAGTGTTGAGCCGATCACTCGGGCGGATACTCTGTGGAGGTCGAGGTGACTGAAGCGTTGCCAAACGTGCTGAAGTCAATGTCCTACGTTAGCGACAAGAAGCGAGCTGCAGAAGCAGCATGCTGTGTCATATGACATAAGGGAATCGCCTGTTGTGTCCTACGTGAGAGAAACACACGGCCTTCCTGCGCATGCCCCTTCCCTGTACTGCACAGTTAGAGCTTCCTTGCGCATGCGCCTTACTGGCCAGCGCAGCGACCTGCGTGAAAATATCAAAATATTTGATCTTGGACTTCGGCCGCTTTACTCTCCTCACCGCTTCGCTGTAACCTAGGACAGCGCCACACAAACAGCCAATTTGATATTTCCGCTTCACCCACGCAACTCGCACCGCTCGCATTTAATCCCTCACGTAGGACAGCATCTTCTGTCCGTTTTTATTATGTTCCATGTTGTTTTTATTTTATTGCCTGATTTTGCTATAAGTCTACTGTAGTGCTGCTTTTAGCCTCTTCTATAACATTATTCAGAATTTTACAATACATAACATAAAATGCTCTTGCATTTGGGTCTTTACTGTTCCTACTGTAGATAAACAGACTCCTTTTATTCTTGCAAGATACTTTTATTCCTTGCGAAACCAGTCATTCTTTATTTTGCCTATACTTTCATATGTAATAGGAAAACTAGGTTCAAAAATATTTATAAAAGTACACAAAAATGAGTTAAACTTTTTGTTGGTATCATTGACTTCATAAACAGATTTCCATGTTTCATTCTTCAGAAGAAGCTGAAACTGCATGATTGTTTCATTATTTACTTTTCTTTTCTTCTGCTTCAAAGGTATTAAGTTAGTATCTGCAGCAATATTATTAATCATAAGGTACTTGGCATTATGGTCTGATAGTCCATTTATTATGGGAGAAGTAGAGGTTGAGCTAAATCTTATACTATCCACAAAAATGTTATCAATTGCTGTACTTGAGTCATTTTGAAATCTTGTTGCAAAATTTACAGTATGTATCAAATTATATGTTGCTAGTAGTGAGTTTAAATGTTTTTCCTGGCAGTTTTCATTTAGATAGTCTACATTCATGTCGCCACAGATTAAAAATTCAGTTTTTGGATTATACAGGTACTTTAGAGTAGCATCTAGTCCCCTTAGAAATTGTTGAAAATTACCCGATGGAGCTATGTACAGGCTTAATATAACTAAGTTAGCTGTTTTTGTCTCTAGCTGTATTACACAAATTTCTAAATCCTGTTCTTTACAGTGTTGTGAAATATCAATTTTGTTGAAACATTGATCTTTCTTAACAAAAAGACACACTCCTCCCCTTTTCAGGTTTTGTCATCTTGTGATCTGACATTCTTGAATCCAGAAAATTCTGCCAGATGTGTAGTCGTTGTTTAAGACCCAATTCTGAATCAGAGGCCAGAGGGCCTGATACATAATAAATGAAGAAGCGGGACTTAGTACTGAAATACAGTTGATGGCTATAACCATTATCCAAGTAATATTATAAATCACAGAAACATCAGTTATCGAAGGGTATTGGAATTTATTGGATAATGGAATTACATTAGATGTTGGTGATGGTGGCAGTTCACACAAATAAACCCAATATGATTAAGCTAACAGAAGAATTTTCACTGCTAAATGTGTTCGTAGTACTCTGCATGGTTATGACTAAAAATAGATAAAATAGAATTCTGCAGCAGCCTCAGTACCTACAATCCACTAAACTAATGCAAATGTATTAATAATAATGAAATATTCTAAAGGTTATAAACAGAATTGTAAGAATTGAATGTGGCAGCCTGATACAACAGTGCCTGCCCCTTAATACAATGATTAATCTCTCCACGCCCTTTATTCACCTTTACTTCAATACAAATTAATGAAAAATACATATTAGATTTATAAAAATATCACTTCAAAATATTGACTTCAGTGCACTGTCGGTCCAAGCTGAGTTGCTCTCATGTAGCAACTGAATACCAGCAAAACTGAAAATTCCAGTAGGATGCAGTTCATGGGTTTCTCTTCTCCAGACCCAGCCAAAAGCCTCCTTCAATGGACATGTTGAATCCTTTCTGTACTATTTTGATAGGTACAGGTGTCTTGGCAACCAGTACCAAGTTGAACCGAGACAGCAAGAACACTAGCGCCAGTTTTGTTTCCATAAGAGCAAAGCGGTTCCCTTGAACAAATAATTATAATTGTGTAAGACACGCTGAGATGAATCTGTGCAAGTAACAATGGAATACAGTGATAATACCAAAGCTTGTCAGTGGACACAATCCTGAGCCAGTTTTATCCACTTCCCATCCTCACATACCTTCACGTGTTGTCCGACTAGCCTTTATCTCCTTATCAGTTTCTGTTAGTGAAGATGCAGTCGCCATATTACCAACCCACAGTTTGTGTATTCATTCACTTGCCTGATAATCCATCTTCGTATTTATCTGTCTGACACTATCAAATCTCAAGGCTAATCTCATATGTTTCATTTTCCATAATTTTTAAAAATGTTTTAGTATATATCCATTCATGCATAACTTGTGTTGGGCAAGGCCATGGTCCAGGCATCACGGAGTTTTCCTCCGGGGTTTCCCCGGTATCTCCGTGGCATCCCAACAATTACTCCACTTTCATCATCATCTCACAAAAAGGGGGTCACAGCAGGAGCGTTAAATGTCGCGGTCCCGATTGAACCCATGTACTGATGGGTCGTGAATCCTGCTAACCACCAATGAATGGTGTGTACTGGATACGAAAAGAAAAAATTCATGCATGAATATGTTCCCGGTATCTTGGATAGGATTTGATAAGCGATATTTTTATAAAAAATGTGTACCAATGTCACAAGTTTTATGAGATGGCTGCAAGATGGACAGTAATGAATGATGACATTCCTACTTACCAATACAGCTTCTTGGGCCCAGTCCAAATGGCAGGTAAGTTAGCGGATTGATACCGTGCTTGTTGTCCTCACTGAATCGCTCTGGGTCAAACCGCTCAGGATCAGGGTAGTATTTGGAATCGCGGTGTAATCCGATTACTGGGATGAAGAGGGCTTGTCCTGGATGCATTTCCATAGGAGGATCTGATTTCAACGTGTAGGGTTTAATACAGACTCTGTCCAGAGCTGCACCCGGTGGATAGAGCCTCAGAGTTTCTGTGAATACAACATAAAAAGTTAAACGAGATATTCTGGTATGGTACAGTAAAATTATCTCATCCAGTTGTGAGTGCGCAGGAATAACATAATTTCGCTGTCGCCAAGCAGCGCTGTTTTCTCTCACCAGACACAACCATGTCCAGGTATTTCATGCTGTTTACTGCCTCATATGTGAATTTTCCATCATTCTTCTGTAGAGTTTCATCAATTTCTTCCTGAAGTCGAACCTGCATGTGTGCATGAACGGCCAACTGATGAGAGGCAAAGCACAGAAGGGTGGAGGCTGTGTCAAAGCCAGCTAAGAAGAACAGGAATGCTTGAGCTACGATGTCGTCGTCTTCAATGTCTGTGGGTAAGGACAAATTGTCATATTGTGCTCAGGACATTTTTGTGAATGTACCAGAAATTATCTATGGTCTCGAATAACTGTGTGAGGCTTCATTGCCTAGAATGCTTGCTTCATTGGGACTTGGTCCCCATCAGTTGTTGCTTTAGGAGCTTTGCCCCACAGGCTACCTTTCTCCTGCCTTGGCCACCAGGGCTGGTCACCTTTATGCTTTCACCATCTTGGTTGCAACATTGGTGCAAGAATTACCTAATGCCATTTGTTCTAACCATTGACTAATTGCTTTTATTGCCATACTTCTATAGTTAGTGTCGTCATTGACTTTCTCTTCAAACGGTTTTTAAAATTATTTTCATCACAGTACATTCCTCGAAATGAACCAACTGCCACGCATGCGAACATCAAACTAATTTGTGAAATATCAGTTTGGTAAAACAATCTCATTTCACTCACGTCATGAAATATTTAATTATAAATCTGATAAAAAAAATTGCCATTGCTTACTTATTTTCTTACTTCCAGGAGAGTTACTGGTATCGTCATGTAGAGTGCCTTTCTTGGCTTGCATAAGCATCTGTAACATGTCTGGTCTCACAATTCCTTCTCGTTCTCTTGTCGCAATCGTGTCAAGTACTAGTGTACTGAAGAACTTTGTAGTTTTTGTGGACATCACACTAACACGCAGTTTCTGAACAAGGATCAAATGGTTTTGCAACATTTAGTGTTAATGAACTTAACGTAAGTGAAATGTATGATACACAGAAATCATATGTTGGCATTGCTGATATGAGTAACTGGTTAAATATAAAAATTTTAAATGTCAGTTTCTGTTAGTGAAGATGCAGTCGCCATATTACCAACCCACAGTTTGTGTATTCATTCACTTGCCTGATAATCCATCTTCGTATTTATCTGTCTGACACTATCAAATCTCAAGGCTAATCTCATATGTTTCATTTTCCATAATTTTTAAAAATGTTTTAGTATATATCCATTCATGCATAACTTGTGTTGGGCAAGGCCATGGTCCAGGCATCACGGAGTTTTCCTCCGGGGTTTCCCCGGTATCTCCGTGGCATCCCAACAATTACTCCACTTTCATCATCATCTCACAAAAAGGGGGTCACAGCAGGAGCGTTAAATGTCGCGGTCCCGATTGAACCCATGTACTGATGGGTCGTGAATCCTGCTAACCACCAATGAATGGTGTGTACTGGATACGAAAAGAAAAAATTCATGCATGAATATGTTCCCGGTATCTTGGATAGGATTTGATAAGCGATATTTTTATAAAAAATGTGTACCAATGTCACAAGTTTTATGAGATGGCTGCAAGATGGACAGTAATGAATGATGACATTCCTACTTACCAATACAGCTTCTTGGGCCCAGTCCAAATGGGAGGTAAGTTAGCGGATTGATACCGTGCTTGTTGTCCTCACTGAATCGCTCTGGGTCAAACCGCTCAGGATCAGGGTAGTATTTGGAATCGCGGTGTAATCCGATTACTGGGATGAAGAGGGCTTGTCCTGGATGCATTTCCATAGGAGGATCTGATTTCAACGTGTAGGGTTTAATACAGACTCTGTCCAGAGCTGCACCCGGTGGATAGAGCCTCAGAGTTTCTGTGAATACAACATAAAAAGTTAAACGAGATATACTGGTATGGTACAGTAAAATTATCTCATCCAGTTGTGAGTGCGCAGGAATAACATAATTTCGCTGTCGTCAAGCAGCGTTGTTTTCTCTCACCAGACACAACCATGTCCAGGTATTTCATGCTGTTTACTGCCTCATATGTGAATTTTCCATCATTCTTCTGTAGAGTTTCATCAATTTCTTCCTGAAGTCGAACCTGCATGTGTGCATGAACGGCCAACTGATGAGAGGCAAAGCACAGAAGGGTGGAGGCTGTGTCAAAGCCAGCCAAGAAGAAGAGGATGGCTTGAGCTACGATGTCGTCGTCTTCAATCTCTGTGGGTAAGGACAAATTGTCATATTGTGCTCAGGACATTTTTGTGAATGTACCAGAAATTATCTATGGTCTGGAATAACTGTGTAGGGCTTCATTGGGACTTGGTCCCCATCAGTTGTTGCTTTAGGAGCTTTGCCCCACAGGCTACCTTTCTCCTGCCTTGGCCACCAGGGCTGGTCACCTTTATGCTTTCACCATCTTGGTTGCAACATTGGTGCAAGAATTACCTAATGCCATTTGTTCTAACCATTGACTAATTGCTTTTATTGCCATACTTCTATAGTTAGTGTCGTCATTGACTTTCTCTTCAAACGGTTTTTAAAATTATTTTCATCACAGTCCATTCCTCGAAATGAACCGACTGCCACGAATGCGAACATCAAACTAATTTGTGAAATATCAGTTTGGTAAAACAATCTCATTTCACTCACGTCATGAAATATTTAATTATAAATCTGATAAAAAAAATTGCCATTGCTTACTTATTTTCTTACTTCCAGGAGAGTTACTGGTATCGTCATGTAGAGTGCCTTTCTTGGCTTGCATAAGCAGCTGTAACATGTCTGGTCTCACAATTCCTTCTCGTTCTCTTGTCGCAATCGTGTCAAGTACTAGTGTACTGAAGAACTTTGTAGTTTTTGTGGACATCACACTAACACGCAGTTTCTGAACAAGGATCAAATGGTTTTGCAACATTTAGTGTTAATGAACTTAACGTAAGTGAAATGTATGATACACAGAAATCATATGTTGGCATTGCTGATATGAGTAACTGGTTAAATATAAAAATTTTAAATGAAATAAGTGCCTACAGATGATGAATATATGGGTCTGATTATAATAACAGTACAACAGCATCAAAATGTACAAATATGTAAGATTTGAGGTTTTAACAGCGGTGAGTATGAAGATTTCTGTCTTCTGGGTTGTTGCCCTGATGACGGAGGCAGTATGACCTCTGAAACTTTGGTTATCATCGACCAGACTACACAGCGCAAGAACCCAAAAGACAGAAATCTTCATACTCATCGCCCTGATGACGGAGGTAGTATGACCTCTGAAACGTTGGTTAACATCGACCAGACTACACAGCACAAGAACCTAGAAGACAGAAATCTTCATACTCATCGCCCTGATGATGGAGGCAGTATGACCTCTGAAACGTTGGTAAACATCGACCAGACTACACAGCGCAAGAACCCAAAAGATAGAAATCTTCATACTCATCGTCCTGATGACGGAGGCAGTATGACCTCTGAAACGTTGGTTAACATCGACCAGACTACACAGCGCAACATCCCAGAAGACAGAAATCTTCATGTACAAATATCAATCACCTCTTGTTAATTTTTTGATTTGTTATGTTTGTTGTTTATTTTAAAACTGTAATAAACATAACCAGTTTGGTCCATTAATATATTAATTTATCATATTATTCTAAGAATTGCGAAAGATTGTAAGAACCATACAGTTGCAAAAAGTATGTTTTTATGTACGATTAACTTTATAGGATTTGAGGTTTTGACGGTGGTGCTATCTTCTGGGTTCAGAAATTTACTGACCTGCATTAGTTTGGTCATCGCCACGTAAGCAAGCCACTTGAAGACGCGAAGACCACCCATATAGGTGAGGTCTTGTCCCATCCTATAAAATTCGTTTGTTGGGTTCTTTAAGGAGTCAACACCAATTCCAAATGCTGCTGTAGCGATTACGTCATTAGTGTATCTGGTGTAGAAATCCTTCATTTCTAGAACCAGCACATCACCATCTGTGTGAACAGAAATACATACTTCAGTGAGATATATTTGTTGCCTCTGTCCTTTGCTATTTCTTTTTCTTCTATGGCTGTCCGGTCCATATTCGGTCCATGGCGTCTTCAATTCTCCTCTTAAATTCGATCCTCCGTTATGTACGTCTGTCCGAGGCTTTGATCGAGGTTTCGAAACATCTTCCTTTTTACGGTGCAAGGTTGTTAGCCTTGCTACCAACCCCCAACCTGGAGGACCATTTTACCTGTCTTAGTCTGACCTCTCCCCCTCGACCAATCTGGCTAGGGAGGTCCTACCAGTAGCTCTTGGGGTCGCTGAGGTACTCAAGCCCCACGACCACGACAAGGTGCAGGTACCATTAAGTGGGGCCTTTGCTATTTACATGTTAATTTATTACAATCGCCATATGAGACCATATTTCTGTATAGAAATTAGTCAAAGGAAAATGTATCTTACCTTTCTCTATGTTACAGCCTTTTTGTGGCGTATGTTGGTAGCACTGTTCCAAGAAGTTTACAAACTGCTCGCAACACTCGGACAACAAAACGAACATCGTTTTCATCTTGCTGGATGTGAAGGCAGGGCTCAGTGTGGACCGCATCTCTCTCCAGCGCTGACCTAACAACATATTCAGGTAAGTGACATGTTATTGTAAGTGATGCCGAGTCAAAGTAGTTTAACCCATCGGAATCTTAATTTTGGCCTCTGCTTGTGGGTGTGTTCATAGATTTGCGCCATGATCAGAGGCTGCGTTTTCGTTGAACCTCCTGTTTTGGTGCCTGCCATTTAAATGGATACTCCATGTTACAATATTCAGAATGTGGTGATGTGTCTACTCCATGAATTGAGAAGGATTAAAGATGTGATGCCATGTGGACTCGTAAGTGGACACCAACATCTCGGATAAACTTTCTCCATCTTCTCTGAAACATTGGTGTGTACCTACGAGTCCGCACAGCATCACGACCCAGAAGTCCAGCATTGTCACCTTTATGACGAGAACTTCAGATGTCTCGATGATGAATGTACTTCAAGTGGTTTTCCTTTGATATATTACCTTTGAGACTGAAGAGTCCTCTTGACCACACAGGCTCCCCATCCTTTGAGAATATAGCGCGGTGGTCCATGAAGTATTCAAAGTCCTTCACAGCGATTGTTTTTATAAGTTCAGGGTCTTTCAGCATAATAATAGGTTGTTTAAATAAAAAAAAACCTCCATAGGGGTGATCTTCTAGGTCTTTGTATATCCTCATCATAAGCTGAGGGAAATATTGCTTCCTTAGAAATAAAGGTCCCATGCAGCCAATAAATGGTACAGGTTTGATGAAAGGAACATTCTGCTTGGAGAAATGATTGTAGTTGCTGGTTCCTATGAAATATAGTATCACTCCAATGACAAGGAGCAGCAGCACCCAGTCTGAGCACGACCATGACCAGTCCAGCACAGCCATCAGAATCGATCTGAGAATAAGCAAAGACATGACAGTCATGTTAAATGAGGTTTTATAATTTATTTTATATAAGTAGCACAGTCAAGATCTGCTACTTTGTACAAATAGGCTACAGAATTAAAACTGCGATACAATTCTGCAGCATAGGCGATCACGTGAGGAACTGAAATGTGTTAGCAGCTGAAGTTTGGCTAACACGTTAACTTGGAAGATCACTCAGTCCCTCCACCCCGAAGTCCTACACTGTATCGTGTCTGTTCTGAAAGCGTCTGCGCGAACAAGCCAAGGTTAAGCGAAGACTAGGTGGCTAACAGCCTGCCGTAGGTATATTTTATCTGTGTTCAAGTGTGTGGACGAACCACTAAAGTAGCTCCTACCCCACTTGCCACCAGAAACAATGCTCGACGCGAAACTGAATTATTTTAAAATTGAAAATGTGCAAATGTAGTTCGAGTGCGTAAAGAGTCACCCACCTTCTAGCACTCTACTGCGTGTTCCACTGCTCGCTCGTCAGTGTCGAGAAGATCACTTGGGTTGCCTCCGGCGGCTAGTTTGTCGAGGTCGCGGTGACTGAAGCGTTGCCAAACATTATCTAATCTCAGGTGTCGACGATTCAGCAAGTTACGTGGCCAGAGCTGAACCAAAGGGCGGGCCTTAGATCGGCACACCTAACCTAACCATCACGAAAGGCTTTCATCCAGTTTTAAACTCTTCGCCGTATTCGGTCAAATTTAGTGAGGGAAGAATATTAAAAGTGCCATATTTTTAAGCGTTTTGAGTGTTTTAATATAAACATTTACCGTCTGATATAGCTGATGGGCATGTAAACATTTTTGGGACACTAGAATTCAGTTGAGAATAAAAAAAGCTCGTAAATGGAAATTCGTTGTATTGTATTTCCTCTGATGTTGCGTTGGAAGAGTGCGATGGTGGACTCGACCAAGTCATGTGGAGGCCATACGTGATCGTTGCGAAATAATAACGTGACTCGCATCCGGCTGACGACATAGTCCAGGAGTTAACAACACCGTTTAATTCTATTCAAGCGCGTTACAGAATACGGCTTAGCTTTACAGCCATTGCTTCGTATTCTGCAGGTCCCCACTTCAAACCTCGACCTCTGACCGTCACTCTCAACATCGCAACCCACTCGATCCAAAGCTCGTCTACGTATCTTTTTAAGAATCCAGCCCTTACCGCATAGAAAACACAACTCTTTATGATTGCGAAGATTAACTTGTTAACGCTGTTTAAGTAAGTAATTCCTGGAACTGATAACATGAATATTCATCAGACTGTGCAGAACAGTAATATTTTAACTGACAAAGTGTTAGTACGTACATAAAACTGTCACCACCAAACTGTAATATTCTCTCTGACATATGTTTATTTTCTCTTCAAAATATGACTCCCTCGGTCACAGGTCATCTTATGAGTTGTGTTACATTTATAATAGTCTCTGTACTATAATTACATCAACAGGAGCTCAGAATGGTTGTCACATTTATGCGAGGGATTACGACGACATAAGGAAGAAAGCATTTTTGTTTGTTAAGGCTGTAGACGAGGAATGTGCAAACTACGGTCCGCAAGAGTTTTTTCGTGTGTATATGAGATGGCGCGTTAATTTAACCATTTAAAACCCAGTGGTAACTATATGTACCACCTGCTTTAACAGTTAATGACTGCATATTGTATCGTGTCTCTTGTATGATTCTCATTGTAAGCAGGGATTTGTTTTCTTTAAGGTGCGGACTGAATTTTTAAATATTATTTAGACGTTCTTTGGCTACAAAGGTTTAAGTAAGAGGAATCCAATGCTATACTCTTTAATTATCTTACCATTCGATAAAAAATTTGATCTAATGACAGCGACATTAAACAAATAAGAAATAAATATAGTGACGTTTCGGGAGTTGTTTCTGTGACATTTGTTGTTACCATTTTAATTTTAATTTTGGTGGCAGAATTTTTGTAGTACTATGCTAGTACGCTAATCACAAACGTAGTTAAAATGACCCCGGGTTCAATACGAAGTGTCAGGAACGTCAAATCTTAAAACAATTACAAATCAGTAAAATTACAATCAGAAGACAAGAGGAGAAACATGTCTTCAACACCCAACAATTTAAAACATCTCAGACATTGGACAGTAGCGAACATAATATTTGTTTCTAGACCGATGTGCCTTGCGGGCCGCCAGTTGTAAATCGTTGTCAGGAGGACCCTCTGTCCTATCCTGCTAAGCATTTACAAATAACTTCCTCCAACGTTTATAAATCCATCCCTCGGAATGTTTTAAAAATGGGTTGATTTGTATCCGAGGCTGATAAAGAGGAACACAACTGAGATACAAAAATTACGTAACTCACGAGTAAAATGGATTTAATTCCGGACGTATGAACTTCGATCTCCGCGCGAAGGTGTCATCTGAGGTTTGTAGCGCGAAGAACGCCTCGTCAACTGGGAAGGAGACGGTCGAGGTGTGTGAGAAGGGTTTTCTGTCCACTTAGTCTTCTTCAGCATTAAAATTATTTACGGGAAGGACTCGCAAAGATTATTATTATATACATAAGATTCTTTTTAATTTTATCTGTATTCATTTGTGTTTTATTTTCTCCACGTCACGTCATCGTCGACAATTTCCAACGTCATTTAATATATTATGCTGAAATTTGGCGTGGCAGTGTTTTTTGGAAAACATCCAAGAATTTTTAAGTCATATTTTTTTATATAAATTAAATGGCGAACATGGCTACCGCGCGAACTATACATTTGACGTTTAGTTTGTTAGTGATAACTAATGAATCATTGCAGTTAAGGACGTGAACTTCGTTTAGATACAGATGTTAACATATCTACACATCGTATATGAGAATTACGAGTATTAAGTTACTTCGATAGAGGAAAATTTTAATTTAAAATTATTCGTATATGAGAATTACGAGTATTAAGTCACTTCGATAGGGGAAAATTTAATTTAAAATTAAGCAGAAAGTTGGATAACTGAATTATATAATTGATTATTCTTCCGCTACAAGAAATAGTCCGGCCAAGACTCGAACTTGATGTCTGCTGCGTACAGTTCTAGACTGTGGCCACAGCATCATTCTGATCATTCTATCTTGCTTTATCTTCTTTTTTCAAGTGTCGTAAAAAGATTGTATCTGGAGTGGAAAGTGTGAACCCACTACTTAACTGTTTCGTTCTTGCTATCTTGGGTCACAAATGTTTGCTGATGGCTTTGTGCTGGCGAACTCGCGGACCAAACTGACACACACAGAACTTAATGTTACGAGCGAAGAGTCTGGAAATACAGAGGTGAAGAATGTCGAAGGATATGTAAGTAAAATCAATTTAACGCTTGTATGACCAGGGGAAAAGTGATGCTAAACGCGGTACTTGAATACTCTTAAAAATCACGTAGTATCACCGGACACTCAGATATAATTACATTGCTTAGCTCAATACTGTTTGATTTTGTATACTCGATACCATTAAATCTGTTGTCCGTAAAGTTAAGTAAGATAATGATTCAGCTAGTCAAATTTTCCGTATTTTATGAAAACCGAAGGTTCATTACAGATGATAATGTTGCGTCATATTGTGTTGAATATATACTTGCTCAATTTTATCAGTCTAATCACAATAAAATATTATTATTAAATATTAAAATATTACAATTAACATTTAAATATTTAAAATATATTAAAATGATGCTCTCATCGAAATGTTCGATTTACATTAGAGCATCACCTTTTACACTACATGTTTCAGTTCTAAATGAACCATCTTCAGGTGTATAATCCATATAAACTCAAATGTAATATCCTAAGTGCAATCCTTCGTCAGATTACAGTGTAATCAAAAGTCCGAAACCGGTTCCTGAGTCGGATTAATCCAGTTCCCGTTCTCCCACCTTTTTTAATATCGATTTTAATATTATTCTCCCATCTTCAACTAGGTTTACCGAGTGATCTCATACCTTTAGGCTGTACACCATAGATTTTATTAGCATCTCATCGCCTTCATGCGTGCTACATGTCTGACCATTCGTATCCAGTGATATTTCACATTCTTAAAGTCATCAAATACGCTGAAGTCCTGCACACTTCGAAAAATGTTAGTCGGATGAAATAGTTATGACAAAACCTACCATTGAGGAACCATTTCTTACTTCTCTCTGCACGAACCAAGATCAGTATACTCGCAGGTCCAGGCAATGAGATGGAGAAACCTTTATTCGTAATTACTGACCTCGATAAGATAAATAAACCCTGATGATATTATAATCCTGCGAAACACACGTCACCGCTGGCTTTCAAAACTGACGTCATTGTTTTGTTGTGGGGGGGGGGGGGGGGAACGATCAGTTACAGCAATTTTGGATGCAACTCATAAACGAATCTCAATGAAGTAATGCTACAAGATGGCATGTCATTTGTCTACGAGGCAATCATTCACATGTTCATGTTCTGAATTTCGATGGTCTTGAGTCCACAAACGCGTTCTTAACACAGCTGTAGGCTTTGTGGTCTCTCGGAACTCGTCTCTTATAACTAATTTAGTTTTGTTAATCTTAACTTGTTGTTCATTATCAGAGTGTAATTAGTAAATAATGCAAAACAGGTTCGTTACCTAAGCATTGCTGCCAACTTTCACTATTGAAACAGGAATTTCGTTTGTTTGTTATCGTTTCGTATTGAGGACACTTTTTGTTGTTAGTGAAGTTTCTTGAATTTTGTGACTATTTAACGCATTAACTTAAGATGGAGTAATTGTATTGGTGTAATTCTGCATATATCATAGGAATATTTAACAAAAAAAAACTTTGTCCAGAATTTTAAGGTTAGGTTAGGTGAATGAACATAATTCAAAATAGAATATTCTCGTCAATGAAGTGTCGGAACCAGTGTAATCAGCTGTTGACCTGAGGATCATAATTTAAATGTAAGCAGAACTGCACGATATTATAAAGTGAGCTTTGATTTTTTTTGGGTGCCATTTTCAGGGTCTCAGAGTCAATAATTTAGAACGTGAGTGTACAGCTGATACACCTGTAGCTAGAAATTTTTCGTTTGCTATATTAATTTAGTAGGATTAAAAGTGACATTAAGTTTCAACAAATTATCACTGACCTGTTTGAACTTTGGGTCGTAGGAAAAATATCTTAGTCGAAATTCTTCACTGATGAACCAGGGTGACGTGATGGTAATCTATCGAACGTCGTAGTCCTGTAATTAGCTCTCTGTCTTCGTTTTCGGGAGGTTCCAGGTTCAAATCTCGCCGCGGAGACCGGCTATCATGATATAGATATGTTGTGGTATTTCCATTGTCCGTCCGCACGTTTTTTGAAGTAGGTTTCAACAAGCATTTGACTTGGAGAGATTGATTAAGTTGGCCGATCTCTTCACATGTACACCGCAAATACATTATACAAAGTTGTATCAGTTACTGAAATATTTTATCTAATCTCAATAATGTAATCGATCCCGGTGATTTTTAATTTGTTGAAAAAAATATATACTTCTGGTAGGAAAACCTGAAGGGACGACCAATTAGAAGACCAGGCATATAGGATAATATTAAAATGTATCTTACGACTCAAGAAGGACTTGGCTGCTTAGAATTAGTTATTTAGGAACTCTTTTAAAATTCTTATTATTATTAATAATTTGTTGTAAAGTAGAGAAAGTATCTTATAGTAGGCCACAGAAGAATCTTTCACAGCCCTTATTTCCTTACCATTTATAATTATCTTTCAGTTTCACTCGACTCCAACTGAAATGATACCATAACCTAACCTGACACTTAATCATCTGAAAATGTGTTGAACTTTATATTTCTAATTTTTGTTCTGCGAAGGGAGAATACAGAGATGGTTCAGTATATCGGAGTATCTGTAACTGAGGACAACCCACTGGTTCAAGCTAAACGCCAGCATCACCGTGCCGTGCTAAAGAATGGTGTGTGCAACCTGTACCCAAGCCACGTCGCTCAACACAAATGGCGGTTCATTCAGGATTCTGTGACCACGCTTGTAGACATGCGATGGCGCTATGCCCTGTTCATCTGCACGTTTACCTTCTTCTTCAGTTGGACAGCCTTTGCTGTTCTGTGGTGGCTTATCGCTTATGCACACGGAGACTTTGAGGAAAGACACCAGGCAAGTGTTTACACTTCAGGTGGAGTGATTAAAGAACGAGGGTGGCAGAATCATTACTTTTGGCTTTTTGAAAATAAGTTTGAGGCCACAAAACCCAATGTCGTATGCCCAAACTGTGTAATCATATTAACATTCGATGGTGTACGAGACCTCATGGTGTCACTACCCATAAAACCACTGTTGACATCATCAAGACTTAATAAATATACAAATTTCCGATTGGTTATAAACACAATTTAAATAAATTTTGTATCATATGTAATACTTTTCAAAATGCACCATATTCAATGATAAGTATATTAAGGCTTGGTGTTTTTCTTTGAAAAAAGAAGGCCTGACATATGAAAGGAAGGGGAAATATTTTATTAAGTTTTTTTTTTTGTACAAAATTTATGAGCCTTTAAATTTTCCCAATTATAATACTTCTTTATGTTAAATACAAGACTTTCATTTTGTTTGTATTTTACCAAATTTAAATGTGATTTAAGAAAAGAAAACATCAGAAAGTGGTATAGTCGGCGCAGTAGTTTTTGGCCGGTGGAGAAGCTGGCGTACCTGTAGCTGAGGTGGCACGGTCAGTGCATTTCTTTTGTTTGGGCGTTCAGTCATACAAGCTCCTCGGTGCAGCCGACAAGAGACTCGCTCCTAGCCTTCCCCTTGAAAATTCCACCGGCCAAAAACCACTGCGCCGACTATACGCTGGTACGGAGCACCTCATTAAGTTGTTATATCACTAGCAACAGGTTATTTAAAATTGCTTTGCTCAGATACAATTTTTGGTAAACTTACCTGCAAGGTTATGATCTGGAGCATACGAGTTGTGCCAGGAGACTTGGCTGGTAGTCCGAGATAGCTTAACCTGCAGAGTAAATAGAAGTTTCCATTGCTTTCAGTCGTTGGCTCTAATGTCATTAATGTTTTGTTCAGAACTCCAGTGACTGGACACCGTGTGTCACTCAGCTTTACAACTTCACGTCATGCTTCTTGTTCAGCATGGAAAACCAGCACACCACTGGGTTTGGGGCTCGTATGCCAACAGAAGAATGCCCCGAGGCTATTTTCTTAATGTGCATGCAAGGGATAGTAGGAGTGATATTGCAAAGCATCATGGTGAGTGCAATGGATCAGATGATGAAAAATGCAAGGAATTAGAAATTGGAGGTCGTAGAATAAGGCGGTGTCAGTTGGAGGAGTGGAGGGACTCCGTGACCTGAGCCGAGATATTAACCAAACCTCGACTGTTAATGCGTTACTTGTTTGCATGCTGGATTTTGACATATCACATTTCCTATGATTTCGATTGCTTAACTTTCTTTGTATATACGTTCCATGTTGTAACTTTTGATTGTGCATCATAGAAGATAATTGCCAAAATATTCATAACTGCCTCAAAATTTGGCTAACACTTTTGAAAGTGTTCAGCTCTGCTACTGCCTATTACTAAGAATACTCCAGAATGGAGTAAGATAATTACAGTCTTGTGAATAATTTCCTTATTTAAGTTATTTACAGTAATAAAGTTACTCTGGAACACTTTGCATTTTGTCTCTGTTACCGCCAGTGGAATAATATTGTATGTATGTACGTATGTGTGTGTGTCAAACAGGTTGGACTAGTTTTCTTGAAAATGGTGAGGCCGAAACAGAGGACTCGCACCCTAGAATTCAGTAATAACGCCGTTATATGTCGTCGTAACGGCAAGCTGTGTTTAATGTTTCGAGTTGGCGACCTCCGCCGATCACACATCATCGAGGCAAAGATGAGAGTGCTGCTTGTTCAGACCTGGACTACTCCGGAGGGCGAGGTCATATCGCCTTCCCGCACGGAACTCAGGGTATGTACTGCTTTCTTGGTTTAAATTGCCACTGGACAAAATTTTGAGTCGATTTCATTCACTTCCCATACTTACAACCTATTTTCCAAAAGGCTTCCCCATCAGAATTTCTGTAGATATGTCTTGTTTTGGCCATCAAAACTGGATGGTGAACTCATCATAACCTTCTCTATTTTGCTGTCGTAACAAGACAGAGTGGATTGTAAGACATACATTTTTATGTTATGAAATGTTAAAAATTTCGTATTTAATTCATATTGCATAGGTCCAGATGTTTTCCTGAGTACTTTATATTGGAGCACTTGCAATTTCTGTTCTTTCCTCGTAATAAGATACCAAAGTTCGCAGTCATTAAAAAAAACAGGAAGAATTGTTTCATTGGTTTATATAGTAATATCAGTGTTTATAAACCATGGTGCATCATACAATTTTTTGACATGTGTGCGGTGTGTCCATCATAAATAAGATTGAATATGAAATGCAATTTTTATGATCAAATATTGATAGTGAAAAGTCGCTGGTGGGTGTGTGTGTTCTGCTTTAGAAATCCAGTAAAATAATCAAAAATTGTGTCTCTAATAGAGCACTAAGATCTGTTTTCTTTTTGTAAATTTAGGTGGAGGACACGTCTGATGTGAAGTCCAATTTCTTCTGTCTCCTCTGGCCTGAAACTGTCGTGCACTGCATTGACAAATCCAGCCTACTTTACGAATTGTCTGCCAATGATCTTCGAGAGGCAAATTTTGAGATTGTCGTTATAATGGAGGGCACAATTGAATCAACCGATCAGAGGGTCCAGGCAAGAACGTCATATCTACCAGCAGAAATTTTGTGGGGTCATAGGTTTGAACCAGTAGTAAGCTATGATAAAAGCCAAGGCCGTTACGATGTGGATTATAACCGGTTTCACTGTACCGAGCCCGTAGAGACGCCTCGAGTAAGCGCACGAGAACAGTATAACAACTCAAAAGTACCTATTACATGCAACGAAGTTGCTTGTTAGTGTTAAATTAAAACATTACCATTGATTATTGTTATTAGACATTGCAGTGGCTATTGGTTCTGTGTATACTCGAGTGTAAACGGAATTAAAACCTGCAAATACGATATTGCATTTTATTATATTGTATTCGGATCACAAAATGGAAATCAGAAACAACAAAAAAAAACTTTGATTTTCACAGCAGTGAGGATGACAATGTTCTTCTGGGTTTTGGCACTCGTTCTTTCCATTTTCAGGGCTGAAGTGGCAATGCCAGGAAGTGGAGGGATTTTTGTAGCATTGGAGGAGGAAGGCTGAGGGATCGGCTACTATATAAGTCCCTCCACTTCCCAGGACCACTACTTCAGCCTTTAAGATGGAGACGGTATGTTTCTCCAAAATTTTTGCATCTACTGTTGAATCTACATGGCATAAAAAACCCAGAACATCGGCAAAGAACTGAGGCAGGTAAGTTGACTTCGCTCAAGTGGTGTCTGTATATTGGAAAGGAAGCTGATACATCATGGGCTTCTTCTTCTTCTTCTATGGCTCTCCGGTCCGTATTCGGTCCATGGCCTCCTCAATTCTCCTCTTCCATTCGGTCCTCTGTTGGGTCAGTCTCTCCAAGGCTTTGATCGAGTTTTCGAAACATCTTCCTTTTTACGGTGCAAGGTTGTTAGCCTTGCGACGAACCCCCAACCTGGAGGACCAGGGTACCTGTCTTAGTCTGACCTCTCCCCCTCGACCAATCTGGCTAGGGAGGTCCTACCAGTAGCTTTGGGGTCACTGAGGTACTCAAGCCCCACCACCACGACAAGGTGCAGGTACCATTAAGTGGGGGGTGGTGGCGAAATTTTCACTACCTCTGCCAGGAGCCAAATTCCATCTATCCAGTCCATGTCAGGGCGCTAGTGTTAATGCGATATACAATTCAGACAATCATAAACAGTTCTTTTATCAAGCCTCAGTAAATAACAATAACTACTTAAATTACTTTGTCTGCTCATAATTAATAGCCAATGTCCATCACTGGTAGCAAGAAATGCCCATAGTTGGGTCTAGCAGAGTCTGCATTTGGCAAGGGTCCGGTGTTTATCCAAATGAGAACTCTCTTGAATCTCATTAAACTCTAATGTCAATTCAAGTATGTTAGGAAGAGGCTCATCAAAATTGTGTTATTTGTTTAGTGTTTCTTCGTCGTAGTATTTAACGTGCCAATATATGCCGCAGCTGCCCCTAGCAGTGATTTTAGTTTTCTTACTGCCATTTGCAGTTAACTGCCCATACATTTCCTTTGCAGCAGTTAATAGCGTGTTATGCCGATAAAGACCTGATTATTATTCTGGTATGTAATTGTTTAATGTTATTTACAGTGTTTTAAATACACATTTTTGTTGATCGATAGGTGAGGTTCGTTAACAATTGGAAGAAAATGGGAGACTTAAATGAGAATTCGTTCAACAGATGGCAGACATGTGGAGAAGGTCGTGCTATCTGCAGGAGTTATTTGCAACTAATACAGATTAATGTTTCGTACTCGGTGGTAGGAGCTTTCTTAGGTAGGTACGTCTTCAGGGTTAGACGAACGTGTGAATAATGTCCATATCCATCCCATAACAACTTTTGAACTAAATTATACATTTTTCATTAAATTTAGTATGGACAGAATGTTGTTGGAAGCCACCGTACCGTAAATTCAAAATTAATTATCAGCAGCGATATGATGTCCGTAAGGAACTAGCTCAGTTTCATCTAACTTTCAAAAATGTTCGGTAGTGTAAGATCTAAAAGAAGTAATTTTTATAAAATTGTTTTTTGTAACAACCCCGAAATCTGTATGTAGCTTTCTCTGTGATCTCAGAATTGTAATTAATGAATACTTGCAAATAGGTATTACACAGAGAGAGAGAGAGAGAGAACCTCATAACCTACTTAGAAGGAATAAACCAACTGTGAAGCTGATTATGAATTAATGCTACGCGTAATATTACAAATTGTGTGAATGTGTCATCGTCTTTACGCTGGCTCGACGCGATCTGACTCCCAGATTAATTTTATTTTATAGACTGCAGCCTGCGTTATTACACAACGAGAAAACAAAAAAAAAAGTTCTCTTCAGTTTTAAAACGTAGATAATTCAATTTCTTCGTAGTTTCACGCCCTGCGTGACAGAGAACTGTGGAGTGTTCCATTCTATGGTTCTTGTGAAGCCTTCGAAAATGCGATTAGCGATTTCTGCTGGTCAGACGAGAACTCGTTTGTGACGACAGAGTATGGAACGGGAAAGGATCTACATTTTTACTCTGCAAACGCACAATGTTAACTATTGAAATTTAGAGTACTGACGTCACGTCCGCCTTTGTACGTGTTTGTCTCTGTCCTACCTAATTACTATTCATGAAACTTTGCATCGATGTTAACGCCATTTGAGGGGGCGAATCTATGCGCTTGAGATCTGTTATAAGTAAAAGCTGTGAGATCAGAGGGTGGGAGGGGTTGCAGATAAGGAGCGTATTTTCCATGTTATAAATATTACTTCTCAGTGACAATTCTTTATAGCTCGCTGTCTCAGTTTTCATGTTGGAAATATCTTTGGATTACTTAGTTGGCATTCGTTTATTTTTCTTATACTCGCAAGCTAATAACGTAGGGAAAACGCACAGATTTACCCCGACAACAACAAACATTTGTTTGTTTAAATACTGTACAAGGCGACCGTGAGAAATCCTGAGATGGGAACGAATCATAAGAGAAAGGAATTACGTAACTGAGATTTCAGGTTTTCATGGCGACTAGAATGAAGATATCTTATGGGCTGTTCGTGAAGTTTAATGACGCCTGTGTACCTCGAAGTATATAAATGTTTTTCTAGAACTTTCCACAGCCATTATTCACTTACAGGAGCAACGTATCGAAGACGGGCAGCGTAGAGAGCCACGACCTTTCGTTGTTAAAGAAGATATCTCAGTCACTCGACCGAATCTTCCAATTAAAACCATCTTTTTTCGCCGGATAATTCTCAGCGGATTTCAGATTAGTGTCAACGAGGTAAGGCACCGAAGAACGTGGGCGTTGATAAAAATGTCAGCCATGACACTGACACGCCTCTAACGTGTACAGACTTTGCGAGTAACGAGGTAAGTACAATATATTCTTAAGTAGACCCCCCACTCGTGATAATATTTTTAAAATAAATTTGCGCGCCATTTTTAAGGAGTAGGATGCATAATTTCTGCGGTAGTTCCATCTTCATGTTTGCATAAACGTGGCCCTGTAGACGAAAGACAGCTGTCATTTGTGTTCAATTTTACTTCCATTTATTGACAGATTTTAGTTTCAAAATATAAGAAGGCGAAAACTGTCACGTTAAAAATCCAGGCTTATGATTTACGTAAATGGAACAGACAGTCAAATATCTTTATTCGCTAATTTACATTTCACACGTAAAATGACCATGGCACATTAATGGAATTACGAGTACATTTTAAACGTTGAAACCTTGTCCATATCGAAATGCCAGTAATCAGTGAGCTATTCACAATTGCACCTCTTACGGACGACAGCAGAACGGTGCGTCGTTAAACTCGATAAAGGGAAATTATTTTTTTTTATTCGTGAACTGTAATTATTCAGATTTCAACATCACTGACAGATCGCAAATTTAATAGCAGGGCATCAGAAAGTAAATTCGATTCGTAGTGAACTTGTTATATCTTCGCGTTTGAACGTGGAGTATTTCGTGGGGGAAGTTGAAATGGTTGTTGCTTAAAAACCTTTATGACGTAACTCTTTCTACCCGCATGCCAGTGACGTAGACGAAAAGTACAGTTTATTTACGGCTATTTCACGTGGGTTTCGATTTATGGATATTTGCAGCGAATGATAAAATATTTCAAGGAACAGAAATATATTTTATGACATCCGTGGAAGGAGTATCCATAAGGGATCAAGAAAGACATTAAGACACGTGCGTAAGAATTATAAAAATTGTAGCAGTTATAAGAATATTTTAGTGCTTACGGAAAGGCAGAAGAATTGTGAGAGGAAATAAACTAATTTCGAAAATGCAATGTCAATAATACGTCATTTGCCACCATCGTGTGGCTAAATCCATTTTCTCGGTAACAACTCGAAATTGTATTCTTGACAAAATCAATTCTGAACCACTTACATTCCCGTGTTCAAAACCAGAATCATAGAAATTAAAATTGGGCTGTAATTTTATCTGTTGTTTTTTATGGATCTGTAACGTGGTCTCTCCTAAACAAATAAGACATTTTTAAGGAATTTTAGAACACGGTGCTTAGGAACGTGTTTGAACCCATGAAGAATGGGGTTATAAGACGATAATTAAGCAGTGGCTTTCTTTATAAGTTGCACTCGTCACCTACTCTTATTGGGCAGGACATGTAGCTGGCATGGAGCGATGAAAAGTGCTCATAAAATTTTAACCAGAAAACCTGAATAGAAGAGATGGTGGGAGATACAGATGGTAGGATATTAAAACATTAGATAAAATAGTTCGTGAAGATGTGAACTGGATTGAAGTGGCTCAAGATGGATCCGGCAGTGGGCTTCTGTGAACACGGTGATGAACCAATATATTCTGCAAAAGATTGCTATTGCTAGACCAGCTGACTAATAGCAATCCTTCGAAGAAAGATTTATCTGCTTGGAGCAAGGTACACCCACTATTCTGGGTCTGTTGTAGTTAATTCGGCTTATTGTATAGCTTTACGTATGTATTTTACGTTCTGCAGAGGATTAACTGTTTATCAATTTTTTTGTAGACTGCAAAACGCGATCACATAAATCACGCCAAGTTCGTATAGCTTGCAGGGTCCACGTGCACCGAATCACACGAGCTTAGAAGTAGCTATCAGTTACGTCATCAGTATTAGTTCGCCAGAACGCCGCAACTCCCATTCGCATGATCGGCGTAAACATCTGTCAAATATGTTGGTAAGACGTGTTTTTAACTCTGTATTTTGTATCAACTGTTCCTGTTTATTTCATTTAGATTTTTAATTAAATACGTTCTGATTTTTTCGTAATTTATTTTAGAAATGCGGTGAAGTCAGTAACTACATTTTGTTCACTGTCGTATCTGCTGTCTGTACTCTTC